TGAAATACATTTGCTTTATAAATGTTAGTATACTCCACATCTTTCCATCTTTTGGTGTCCTCTTCTATTTTTTTCAGCAGAGTTTTGTAGTTCTCATTACAGAGATCTTTCACCTCTTTGTTAAAATTTATTCCTGTATTTTATTCTTTTGGTAGCTGTTGTAAATGGGTTTGCTTTCTTGATTTCTTTTTCTGCTTATTCATTGTTGGTGTATAAGAATACTACTGATTTTTGTGTATTGATTTTGTATCCTGCAACTTTACTGAATTCATTTATCAGCTCTTAAGAGTTTTCTGGTAGAGGTTACGGGCTTTTCTACATATAGGATTATGTCATCTGCAAACAGTGACAATTTGACTTCATCTTTTCCAATCTGGATGCTCCTTATTTCTTTCTCTTGTCTGATTGCTCTGGCCAATACTTCTAATACTACACTGAACAGGAATAGGGAGAGTGGGCATCCTTGTCTTGTTCTTGCTCTTAAAGGAAAAGCTTTCAGTTTTTCCCCATTCAGGATGATGTTGGTAATGGGTTTGTAATATATGGATTTTCTGGGGTCGAGATATTTTCCTTCTATACCTAATTTGTTGAGGGTCTTTATCATGAAGAGATGCTGAATTTTGTCAAATGCTTTTTCTACATCTATTGAGATAGTCATATGGTTTTTGTCCTTGCTTTTGTTGATGTGGTGTATTACATTTATAGATTTGCATATGTTGTATCCCTGGGATGAATCCCACTTGATAGTGGTGTGTAATCTTTTTGATGTGCTGTTGTATTCTCTTTGCTAATATCTTGTTGAGGATTTTTACATCTATGGTCATCAAGGATATTGGCCTGTAGCTTTCTTTCTTTTGTTGTGGCTTTGTTTGATTTTGGTATCAGGGTGATGCTGGGTCTCATAAAATGAATTTGGGAGAATGGCCTCTGTTTCAATTTTTTGGAATAGTTTGAGAAGGATTGGTTTTAAGCAACTGTTATTGGATCTAAAAGGAGAACAAAATCCCAACACAGTAATAGTTGGGGACTTTAACACACTGCTTGCAGCATTGGACAGATCATTTAGACAAAGAACCAACAGAGAAATACTGGACTTAAACAACACTTTAGACCAAATGAACTTGACAGACATATACAGAACATTTTATCCAACAACAACAGAATGTACATTCTTCTCATCAGCACATGGATCATTCTTCAGGATAGACCACATGTTAGGTCACAAATCAAGTCTCAACAAATTTAAAAAGACTGAAATTATATCAAGTATATTTTCACACTATAATGGAATAAAATTAGAAATTAACAACAAACAAAACTATGGAAACTATCAAATTCATGGAAATTAAACAACATGCTCCTGAGCGACCAGTAGATCAAAGAAGAAATAAAGCAGGAAATAAAAATATTCCTTGAATCAAATGAAAATACAAGTACAATTTACTAAAACCTATGGGATATTGCAAAAGTACTAAGAAGGGAGTTTTTTGCAATAAGCGCTTACATCAAAAGAATAGAAAGACTTCAAATAAACAACCTACTGTTAAATCTCAAAGAACTAGAAAAATAAGATCAATCTAATCCCCAAACTAGGAGATGAAAGAAATAACATCTAGCAGAACTAAATAAAATAGAAATCAAAAGAATTATAAAAAAAAAAATCAATGAAAAAAAGTTCATTCTTTGAGAGGATAAACAAAATAGACAAGCCACTGGCCAGACTAACTAAAAAAAGAAGAGAGAAGACCCGAATAACTAAAATCAAAAATGAAAAAAGAGACATTACAACTGACACAACAGAAATACAAAGAATCATTACAAACTATTATGAATGACTATATGCCAAGAAATTTGAAAACCTGGAGGAAATGGATAAAATTCTGGATACATGCAAACTACCATGACTGAACCAAGAAGAAATATAAAACCTGAACAGGCTAAGAACAAGCAACAAGATTGATGCGGTAATCAACAGTCTCCCAACTAAGAAAAGCCCAGGACCAGATGCCTTTACTGCTGAATTCTACCAAACCTTTAAAGACTTTTTAGTTTAGATCAATTTTATGTTCAGAGAAAAACTGAGCAGAAAGTAGAGTTCCCATATGCACCTGCTCCCAATTCCAGCTTCTTCCACTATCAAATTCCTGCACTAGCGTGGTGGCCCTGTTGTTAAAATCAACGAATCTACCACATCAATTTTGTTTGTTTGAGAAATTCTTAAAATAGTTTCTCCTCATGTAAAGAAAAAAAAATCTCAACCTTAACCTCAGATTTAATACAAAAATCAGATCAAAATGGATTTTAGATTTTAGTGTAAAACATAAACTTTATAAGAAGCATAGGATAAATTCTTCAGGACATAGGGGTTGGTGAACAGTTCTTAGACATGTCACTAAAAGTAAGATACATAAGAGAAAAAAATTGATACATTGCACTTCATCAAAATTAAAAACTTTTGGACTGGCTGGTTAGCTTTGTTGGTTAGAGCACTGCCTTGTAATGCCAAGGTAAAGGGTAAAGGGTTTGGATCCCTGTACTGGCCAGCAGCCAAAAATAAATAAATAAATAAATAAATAAAATATTTTGGGCTGGCTGGTTAGCTCAGTTGATTAGAGCACCACCTTGTAACACCAAGGACAAGTGTTCAGATTCCTATACTGGCTAGCTGCCAAAAATAAGATGTTTCTTTTTTTCAGGGAAAGGTTTACTAGCACTATGCTCTCCCGTGTAAATTAACCCACCAACCAGGGAAAGGTTCAGATAAAGAGAAATGCAACTTTTTTTTTTTTTTTTTTAAAAAGATGACCGGTAAGGGGATCTTAACCCTCGACTTGGTGTTGTCAGCACCACGCTCAGCCAGTGAGCAAACTGGCCATCCCTATATAGGATCCGAACCCGTGGCCTTGGTGTTATCAGCACCGCACTCTACCGAGTGAGCCACAGGCCGGCCTAGAAATGCAACTTTCTTAGAAGCTCTGCACTATCACTTAGTTGTATGTTAAAACGAAGCAAACTTTGGTTTCGTTCATGTATCATGTAGCATAAGATCAAGTTAAGACATAAAAAAGTAAACAACCAATTCTAATAAGTGGTGAATTAAAAACAATTCCTTTTTTATGGAAGTGATTTAGGGAGGGGTAGGAAAACACACTATGTAAAGCTAATAAAAGAAAAGCTCCCTCAGGAAATGAGTTTTTTTTTTTGTCCTTTTTGAGACCAGCCGCACTGCGCTCAGCCAGTGAGCGCTGTGAGCGCACTGGTCATCCCTATATAGGATCCGAACCCGCAGCGGGAGCGCTGCTGCACTCCCAGTGCGCACTCTCCCGAGTGCGCCACAGGCTCGGCCCAGGAAATGAATTTTAAAACATTTATATTCATCCCTTATTTTTCACTTTTTTTCTAGCAAGGAACAGAAAACTCAATAGTTAGCTATCGAAGTTCAACATACAACTATTAAATTAAGCAAAGGATTATTAGTCCTTGTTCTGGCACTCTCAGGGAAAGGGCTGTTTGTGTCAGGTAACAAACAGTCAGTGAAAGTTTTACATTTTTTACCTACTTTTCAATATAGTTTTAACTTCTAGTTAAGTCTGTTAAATAAAAATTATTGTGCCCCTTCTTCCCACACTTGTTGTAGCTAAATAGATGCTCAAGAAGACAAGCAGGAACATCTTTGAGGGGAGAAGTACTGGTTAGGGGGAGAGACTAAAGTGTATAGGATCTGTTGGTGCTGACATCTCACCAAGAAGTTGCCTTTATAAACAAATCAACCATATATCTGTGCTTTGCCAAAGACTAAGGCTTATAATAAGAAGAGGACTGGAAATCTCAGTGAGTTACTTGGACAGTTTTCTCATAGGAGGAATAATATCTAGTGTTCTATAGCACTGTAGGGTGGTTATAGTTAACAACAATTTATCATATAGTTTCAATTAGCTAGAAGAGAGGATTTTGAGTGTTCCAAAGACAAAGAAATGATAAATGTTTGAGATAATGAAAAAAAATCAGTTGTTGCCAGGGTTTCCAGGGAGGAAGGAGGGAGAGGAGGAGGAAGGGATGACTAGATGGAGCCCCGAGGATTTTTAGGGGCTCGACACTGAGGGTTGCGATCCGTTGCCGGTCACGAAAAAAGACAAAAAGGGGAAAAAAAAAATCAAAAAAAAAAAAAAAATAATATATCCATATTGGTTCATAATTGTAACAGATGTACCACACTAATGTAACATGTTAATAATGGGAGAACTTGTGTATGTGTGTGTGGGGGGGAGGGTATGAAAACTATCTGCACTTTTTGTTCAATTTCTTTGTAAACCTAAGACTGCTAGAAAATAAAGTCTATTACTTAGGGGGTTAAAAAGAAAGAAAAATAAAGAATTATATAATTTAAAAAAATAAAATAAAAAATAGAGGCTGCCAGAAGTGCAGAGAAACAAACACATTTCTACACTCCAAATAAGGCCTGTGGCTGTGATAAAAAGAATCCCAGGAAAAAATTCAGGAATAAAAATGGAGAAAGTGACACTTCAGACTGAGATTACCAGACACATCCATGGAATTAAGGAGGAAAAGGAAACTGAGAAACCAAAAAAGCCCTCACACCAGTTATTTAAAGCTTGGGATGACCAGGAGATCCAGAGTTTCCTAAAAGAATGGGAATTTCTAGAATGTGTAGATTCGAGGAAGAAGAACTATAAATGGTCTAAAGCAATTGCCCAGTGTCTAAGGCAGAGGAGAATAAAGAGCCAGCAACAATGTCTCTAGATGATGAGTTCGAAGGACTCAAACTGGACTACACACAAGGCCAACCAAGGAACAAACCCTTGCCCTGTCCTTTTGGAGATGCCCTATTTAGGATTCTGGGATACAGATGAAAGGATAACATCTTTTCAGGTCCTCCCTGTGCAGATACAGTTGACCTTCCACCTCCTGAGTACCAGCCCCAGGTCTGTGGCAGACTTGTACCCTCTCAGCCCTTTCAGGAGCTGCTGTGGGCACCCCACCTTTGGTCTTCATGGAGGATCCTCAGGTACCCGAATGAGAGCTCTGGAACATGAACCTTCCATTGTCAAGTCCATGTTGGTGTCCTGCCTTTCTCCCAGGAGTCTCCAGCCCCCAGCAGCAGTGGTTGACCTCTTCCGACTGATTCAGATCCTGAAGTTAAAGACAATTAGACCTACATCCTGACTCTGTTTGAAAGACAACAGAATAGTATGATTGTATACACTGGTGTGATTCTTTCCTTCCCCAGCCCAATGTAACAAGAATCAAATGTGAAATATATTAATGATCATGACCCTCAAAAAAAAAGTATATATATATATATATATATATGCACACATATACACACAGATGTATGTATGCATTATATATCTACGGAGAGGTCATTGTTTTTGCCTAAGTTCCTGCACTGGGCCCTAGAAGACCAGACAAAATATAAATGGAGTCATCCCTGCTAAGTTCCAACCCACTTAGGTCTGACCTTTTGAGAAGTCAGGAGAAAGAGAGAGCCAATTTCCCGCCTTTTCTTTTTTTTTTCCTTTTTGTCTTTTTTTGTGTCCGGCAACGGATCACAACCCTCAGTGTCGCGCCCGTACTGGACCGGGACCAGCAACGGGATTGCAACCCTCGGTGCTGCTCCCGCACCTCGCTCAGCCAGCGAGCAGGAACCGGTCTGTATGTGGGATCCGAACCCTCAGCGGGAGCGCCACCACGCTCCCAAGCGGCGCACTGCAGCAGTGCGCCACCGGGCCGGCCAGAGAGAGCCAATTTCCCAAACAGGCCAGTTTAAATCTTCAATAAGTATGACAAGGAAGTTCCCTCCGCTTTAATTCTTACACAAAAGAGATAGCCTGAAGTAACTAGTGTGTTATTTTTCCATCATTGTCTCCCTGTCCCCACCTTCCAAGGAAAGTAACTTTGAAATGACCAATCCGCTTTTTGTTCTTTGTTTCTTCTTTCTTCAGTCTTTCCTGTCTATAAAAATCAACCTCCTCTGCTTGGCCCATTAGAACACTTGTTCTGTTTTATGGAATAGCGTGTTGCTCAATTCTAGACTCGCGATAGAGCCAATTGAGATGTTTAACTAAATTGTTCTTTGACGACTCTGACTTAATAGTTTAAAAAATATATACCCTCCGGGCCGGCCCGGTGGCGCGCTGGATAAGTGCGCCGCTTGGGAAGCGCGGTGGCGCTCCCGCCCGAGGGTTCGGATCCCACGTACAGACTGGTTCCCGCTCACTGGCTGAGCGAGGCGCGGGAGCAGCACCGAGGGTTGCAATCCCGTTGCTGGTCCCGGTCCAGTACGGGCGCGACACTGAGGGTTGTGATCCGTTGCCGGACACAAAAAAAGACAAAAAGGAAAAAAAAAAGAAAAGGCGGGAAATTGGCTCGTATAACTTCGTATAATGTATGCTATACGAAGTTATTACGAGATATGGAATAAATACATAGTTAACTTAATTTTTATGCTAACAGGTATGTTTATGTTTGCTAATATATTCCTCTTTATCTAAGAAGATATATTGGCTAGCTTAGAGCTCATCTTCTCAAAGTATATAAATCAACAGATTCTCAATCTTTAAAAGTCCTTTATTAACTGAGTTTCATTTAGACTTTCTAGCCAAGGATGAAATAAAAAATAAGATGTTTAGAATTTGAAGTTTCCAGAGGATGGAACAATAACAATGAAAAATCTAGAAGATGGAAGAAATTTCTGCCTGGGCTCTGGGAAGGAAAATCAGAACCTTCCTGGAGAGTGGAAAACATGGGACTATGCTTCATGTAGACCTGGGGTTTGATTTAACATTTCTCCAAAGAGGTATTTCTGTGTGGGTAAAATGATTTGCCCAGTGACACATACTCTAAAACAAATTTAAACAGTAATTTTTTCGGCCGCTGGTTAGTACAGGGCTTGATAAACAGTGATTTACATTTTTGAAAAAAAAAATTCAGAGGACAAAATAATCCTTGTAGACTAAGCTGGCACTGTCTGTTAACATAAGCTAAACCTGGCTGATAATACTTGAAAAGTCTTCCTTTTTACCAAGCCTCCTGGAATGGAAGCTATCAAACTTTAGGGTTGAGGATAAAGTTTTAAGATGCTAAGAAACAAGATAATTAGTCCTTTTTTGTGCACAGTACTTTTAACAGAAAGGCTTGAGAAAGTAAGACGACTCCAGAGCGTCAGAGTCTAAATTGAAAAAAAAGGTTGAAATTCCTATCTGGTTGCACCGTCTGGTACAAATTTTGGGTCGCAGAGGTCTGCTCTACACACCTTACCACGACCTTGAAGACAAGTGGCCGTTCCCACCACACTGAAGGACGGGACCAAAGAGGGAAGCGGGGCCTCCTCGGAGATAAGATGGCGGCCTCGCGACGCTCTGGACTGCCTTAGCCACCACTCGGTAGCCGGAAGTCCTCCGGCCTTTGCCTTAAGGAAGCGGAAGCAAAGGGGCGGCTGGCAGCTCTGGTATTGCTCTGCGAGGCCGGCTTGTGAGCCGCGCCAGTGGAAAGGCGCGTGTCGGCCTCTCACTGGCGCAACCTTCACCGCTAGTGCCGCTCCGCTCCGCTCCGCCCCACCCTGTCGTTGTCGCAGCCGCTGCAGCGGACGAAGCCCTGCTCAGGCATGGGCAGCAAGGGGGACACGAGCGGTGCTTGTGCCGCAGCTGCGTGGCCGGTGACAGGTACCTAGGGGTGGCGTGGGGAGGCCTCATGGACGGGGAGAGAGTCTGGGGCGCGAGGCGACCCTGTACCCGGTCACCTTGAGCTTCTGCCCTACCCTGACTCAGTTTCCCAGCCATCCATCTATTCGCGAGCGCTCCGAGTTGCCTTCAGTGGTCTTCCAGGCAAGGTGTCGCTTCCGCAGAGGTGGCGACAGGCTCTCTTCACCGGTCTTGAGACTTCTTTGAAGAGCTTTGAGACCCAAATGCCCAAGTGCAGCAGGAAGTGGGGGAAGTGCCCTAACATAAATTTAGACCAAACCTGACCCTAAGTATGTTGAGAGCCGGCACTTTGCAGGACTCTGATTGGAAAGCGACTTGCTTCTTTTAAAGATTTCAGTTTTCCCCGAAATGAATTCGGGTGATGCATATTGGTTGCCCTTTTCATTTAATACTAAAATCTGTTGGCTGGAAATTGGATAATCTTGTTTCACTTTTAGCGTGGGACCTGTCGGAAGAAGGAGATCTGAGTACATTGCCAATA